GATTGAAAAGTAATTTCTCCCCCCTCTTTTGAGATAAAAAGATGGTCATATTACTACCTTTCTTTTTATACACTCATATATAACTTCATTCTAATCCAAGAATTTTAACTTAATAATAGAAAAAAATTACCAATCCAAAAATAGAAGAGTGATTGTGAAGAAAAATGATCTTTTGTCCACAATGCAACACACAAAAACAGAATGCTAATTTAGTTCCTTGACATTCACATAACAGCTAGCCCATCAAGAAAAAGCTTGTTCTAAATTAAGTCTTCAGTTGCATGCTAATTTTATTACTTGATATGAGTTCAGTGAAGTTATTGAACTCTTTGATACTTATGTTTGTTCGCTTGCATTTTTAGTACATAATTTTACTCGAGATGAACAAGAGTTTAAGTTTGAGAGTGTGATTAGTGCATATTATACACTTATTTGGGTTTTTTACTTTCTTACTTGTGATTAATTGAGTGAATATCTACCTAATTTACATGTAAATATATCAACTGTAGGTAAATTAACATGAAAAATGGTGAAACTAGAGCTAAATTAGTGTTGATTCGGAGCAATTAATGATCAACTAGGATGCAATTGATTAATTGGAAGACTTATGGGAGATATGAGAAGTAATCACAAGTTTTGGAAGTTAAATTTGACATGAAAAATTTAAGGACTTAATTAGAAGAAGCTTTTGGAACTTGCATCGATCAGAAAGGTTATGAATTATTGAGGAATGTTGTGGATCAATTTACAATGAATTAAAGCTGAATTACCAGAATTCAAAGAAGAAAGGAAGCAGGCTGAAAAAAAGAGGAAATCTGAGGATCAAAGTGTACTTCACAGAAAAGATAGGGGTTTCGATTGCAAGCCCCATAGGGGTGTGATCACAATTAGCATTATTGCAGGAGCAGCCTCCAGATCTTGTACACCGTGCGATCGTATAATTTGGTCCCGATTAAATCATTTTCTTCCTTTTATCAAACACTTTATGGAAACCTTTTAGGGTACGAATTTGACCTATATCTTGTCCTATGTATATGCATATTCATCTACAAACAAGAAGTTAGAGACGAAGTTTGGAAGCTCAAATACATAAAATCTACAAATTCAAGAGAGCAACTGGAGAGAAAATTGAGAGTTTTATTCAACCTTTGAAGAAGTTTTCATTGCAAAACACCACATCCATCATATTTCATACAATATTGCTGGGGATTATAGAAAAAGAAGAAAATTAAAGGAAAGAAATCTAGAACCATTAAATCAATCCAAGATTCAAGACCACTTTTTTTCCAAATCCTAATTTTCGGTTAATCTTGTATTTATTATTCTTGTGCTCTTGTATATCGTGGCAAGTCAGTTTAATCAAAATTGAAAAGTCAATCGTATATATGCATGGAACACACATGATATTTTATAATCGGTTGATAATCACTGTAATATCTTAGCATGGAAGAAACACGATATTTTATAGTTGGTTGGACTGTAGAGAAGCCAGTTGTACAGTAGAAAAATCAATTATAATGTGAAAATTCACGTAAAAAAAAAGAACAATGATACTCCGCACAGTGCGGGGCATTCACTCTGTAGGGAGCAATTGCTCCGCACAATGCAGAGCATTCGCTCCGTATAGTGCGGAGTGTCAACTCCAGATTTTTTTTTTTAGAAAAGTCAACAATTATAAGCATGTGGTAGGAAGAAGTCCAAATTACCATTGAATCTTATATGAATAGTAGAGGATGGATATGGATGAATTGGGATAAAAAAAAAAGCTCCAAAAAATCAATAGTAAAAATGGGAGATAAAATGAGAAAAAAATTAATTAGTGGGGATATAATGGGAATAGAAAATGCTTCAAAATGAACAGTAGTCAGCGGATTGACTCTTTTAATATAGTAAGGATATGTTTGGCTAGTTGTTTAGATACTATGATAAAGTTGAACCATATATTTTGATATTAATTATATGATTTTAACATTAAGACAATTATTTGCTCTTGAATGTTTGTTATGAATTTAATGCTTTCAATTAATTGACCACTAATTGAATTCACGTAAGATGTCCACTGATGTACTGGAGACAGAATAGTGAAGATACCATATGATAATATTCATTGTAAGATTAAATAGACGTTAGGAATAATTGTATAATTCTTACATGATCCAATCGATGTTCTTGTGTTTTCAATGTATCTTTGCATATTTGAATTCAAAATAGAAATATTGTCGGGTTATGTACAAGTATATGTTCAATTGATCTTGGGAGAGGCTATTGAACATGATAGGAATATTGATAATCATATCTAATAATTGTTGTGAAATTGTGAATTGATGTTAAATAGGTTAGATAGTTGATTTAGGTAGTTAAATATAATCACCGTCACATCACCTATATATTTAAGATTTTACATTCAATTAGAGTTGAGACTTAATTGAGAACTAAGCTAAATCCACTCATTACTTGTTACGGTTCATATATCTACGATGTAGAAATAGACAACACCTTGTTGCAAAACAAATAAGATACCAGAATCGTTCTGATACCACTTGTTGTGTTAATTATGGTCAAAATCTCTAATACCACTTATTGGGAATTCAGGGATCACGTATTGCTCGTACCACTTGATATGAAATAAATCACTAGATTGAAATGTTGAAGTTATATGGCACAACAATAAAGTATTTGATCACAAGTAGAAGAATAAAAGAAGACAATAAAATATGGTAGATAAATTATAATATTTTATTACACTACAAATAATGAAGATGGAGAAGTATTACAATGATCCTAAAAGTTAGTAATCACTTTTCTCACATTATTCTCTCACTATAAAATTGTAGAGAAGAGCCAAGTATATAGGCAACTATCTAGGGCGACGTCCAAACCTTAATAGATGAGTTGTAATTGTAGTTGAAGTAGAATGCCAAAAATGTGTTAAAACGCAAAAAGGGCCTAAGCAGGATAACCCTGTCACTCGAGCGATAAGCTAACGAAAGGTCCGTTGCTCGAGCGCCGAGGGCGACAAGTGAGGGATTAAGTCTGGGGAGAAAACCTGTGGGTGTTGTTCGAGCGGCCAGTTAGCGGTAGGCTAGCGAAAAACAAATTCTTCTCGTTCCATCTTCAAGTCCAATACAAATTCAAACTTCCAATAGGGCTTCTAAATAGAATTTCAACTTGAATAAGACTCAAAAAACATTTTAACTAAATTCCTCTTGACATATACTTCAATTAGAATTCTTTAATTACTTCAATAAGGAATTCAGGTCACATCCAAATTCTAACAATCTCCATTTTGACACGAATTCCATTGCAACGAGCAAAGCTCCAAAATTTTCTCCACCTAGAGAAGAAAATCCGTCTGCAAGGAATGACCTGACTTTTCAACAATAACTTAAATTGATTTCTCCAACAAATACAAAATATTCAATGTCTTCCAATGAATCCAAGCATTACTCTACAAAATTACCTCAAATTTTCAAAAAATCATAATGATTTTAAAGTTCAACAAATTGAGTTGTAACACACTCTAAACTAAAATCAAACACAAATGATTTTAAAGAAGACCACTTGTTAGATTGTACACCTTCTACTACGCTAAAGCATGCTCAACAAAATCAGCATCCACATATCTTTTTCGATTAGTGTCCATCCCTAGCAATAGAATATAATGGCACCGCAGGTGATGGTGATCAAGCGGCATTATCTATATCTTTTGAACTCCACTGAGTTATATTTTTCAAATCTGACCCTTTTACGAGTTCTTAAAGGTATTGTATCAAACTGCATGTTCACCACTATACTGAATCTGTACTGATTGACTCTTCTAGATTCTGTACCCATACAAGATGTATAATTGAGATATTTTCTGTTACTTCAATACAATATGAACACCCTTACAAACCTTTAAAGCTCCACCTTCACCTCCACATCCACCAAAGAACTTATAACCCTTTGAATTAAGGATAGACAACGAAATAAGATTCCCATCCAATAGCTTCAATCTGATCGTACCAATTCCAGCAACTCGATAAGATGTGTTGTTTTCCATAATCACAACACCTTTGGAAACTGTTTTATATGTAGTAAACAAGTCAAACTGAGTTCCTCTTAACGTACACTTTAATTACAATTCTTCAATTACTTCAACAAGGAATTCGGATCACACCCCAATTCTAACACACAATTTAGTGTGAAGAAATCACAAGGTTCATGGTAGACTAAAGCGAGATGTTAAGAGTTCTGATTGATATAACTGCTGGTCTAAGATGACAAGGAGAGGGACAATGGACACGAGAGTAGATAGCGACGAGCAACTGGAATCATTTGGTGGGAAGCACCAGGATGAAGAAAGATGCCTCAATGATGGTTGGATAAGGGAGCAATGGAATTTGGTTTGCACAATCACGTAGATTACATAGCCGACTGTAGGTTGACGACGCAGAGGCAACGGCTTTTAAAGAAGGGTTGTTCTCACACACTGCTGGATTCAGGTAAAGGAGGTGTGGTATGACTCTCTTCAACCAGTATGAAGCCTTGATTAGACTAACTTTAATACGATGGAAATTATGTGACCATTTTGCTTGATGTAACATCACCATTTTGTTTGATGTACAATATTTGTTGACATTCGTAAAAAAAATATCTATCAAATTATAAGTTCGAATTGATCTACAAGAAGCTCAGTAAACCCATGAACTAATTGTAGAAAAGTTGAAGAAAAAAGACAAATCTTGCTCTTCAACTTTGTGTTTAGGAATAAACATACACAGCTCATTCACATAAACTGGAAAATCCTATGTTTTTTCGTTTTCGTTCCAACTATAGAATCTATTGCCCTCAAATGGTAACTCTAGCCATATTCTCTAAACTATCCATCTTCAAAACTAAGCCCAAGTTTATAGTAATCCCATCTAGGATTATTAAAAACACACGCATAGACCAGTTCAGTTAACTAAGTATTACATAAACTATTAGCCTCTACTGGAAATTGCTGTCTTGAATTAATATCATTGCAACTTTTTATCATGCTTCTTCCCCCATTTCCTAATCTGAATTTGAACTCTGGAAATGGCGGCCAAGAAATCCATACATTGCATGGGAGTTAAGGTATCCACCGCGCCCTTCAATGTCTCGAGCCTCACACAATCAGCCATTTTCATTACTTTCTCTAATCCACCCAGCAAAGCCATCAACGCCACCTCCACCAGCTCATTTACCTGTGTCGCCGCCGTGTCACCATTCTTCATAACTCGCCTTTCTAAAGCAACCAACTCCACAATTTTCCGATCTGCCATGCCCACCTGTTGCCTTTCAAACTCTCTCTCAACTTTCTCCTCATCCATTTTAATCTTCACTCTCAAAGCCTCAATCTTTTTCACTTGTTCCTCAGTCATGGTAGCCAGACTTGTGCCAGGAGACTGAATCTTTCTCATTGACTCAATGAGCCGAAAAGCCATTGACGGTTTCCATCCGTGACCCAAAGATTGGCGTTCTCAACCGGGCTTAACCAAACAGGCACGAAGAACGCCAAAACGTCGTCATGTGCCGCAGCCCATTTATAAGTATAGTACTCCTTGTGATGGTCTGTCAGCTTATTAACCAAAACGTCATAGTCCACTCCCTTAGAATTCTCCACTGAAATCCTCAGATAATATCGAAGAAATTCTTCTAGTAGACGCATCCATTTTTCGAAGAAAGATGAGCATTTTTCCTCAACTTGGGTTTTCATTTTTCTCTTAGAACTCTATGCCAACAAAAAAAAAAGGGAGAGATGGTAGCTGGTTGGAGTTGAATGTGAGAAAAGGGGGATATATACACGTACACTGTGTGCTGATGGAAATGTTTTATTTAGATGTGTTACATTGTTACATTACCCAGATGGAGCATTAAAGCCTACGCCACGCTACAAGTGGTGGCTTAATTGGGAAATGCGTGGCTTCTGCATGGCTTACGCACAGCAATTAACCAACCGCTCATACCAAGAGTTAGACGCCGCTTTGCAGATCTCTCTCTGTCTCTCTTCAACTTTTCATTTGTTTTTCCCCTTCACTATGATAAGGCATAGTACCACCTGTGGTGCACTCTAAGTGGGGACGTGTCACGAGAAGAGGGAACGTGAGATCCCACGTGGGGAACTCTCGTATTTCGTCATAGTTGAGATGCATTCTTCAGGTGTCTGTCTGAGAAATTTGATGATGTAATATTTTCTGAACTTCGTAATATTACACTTTTGCAGTCAACATTTATACAGTATAAGTACGTTTACCCTGCATTGAATGATGTCAAACTGTCGAAGGTATTAGGGAACCATAAAAAACCTCCTTCAAGTAAAAACCATGTGCTATCAAGTTTGCGGCTTGATTCTTTTAGTTCAAGAACAGGGATAATCTTCAGAATTTGCTGGACATGGAATCAACATGTAGTACAAGATAAGATCTTATTTGAACTAGTATTACTACAAGAAATTAAACAATTATGGTATCTATGCAATATTAAATACAATAAATACTCAAAAGAAAAAGAGAAAAAAAAAATAACAAACATGTTATTATTCCATAAATTTATTTTCCTTGTACACATTAGTTAGGGTGCTATTTCCACAAATGCGATTAAGAGTTCAAGGATTGGTACTTCCTTCCCTCTACTCCCCTAAAAAAATTATTGGCAGACATTAGAGAACTTCAATAGATGAGGGTCATAAGTCGGTCAAGGTACAAATTTAAAAGATGATCTGAACACGATCCATGCCATATTATAGAAGGGTAAGTTCAACTTTTCCTACGAACCTGATGGAACTAGTTTGGATGCAAAAATTTTGTCTCATTTATCTATTTCGACACCCTTAAATATAAGGATTTTTCTTTTTATGGGTGTATTTGGGAGCCATTTTGGCCAAATTTTAATACGTTTTTTTGACCATATAAAAGGTCAGTGGAGCCCAGTTTTGTAGAAAACGCTGGCAGCACAACTAGTAAATATCGAAGTTGCCATTATTTAATCAAAAACTGATTTTATGTGGAAGGGCAAAATTGGTAATTTCACCAACACAGTCAAACATAGCAGCTCCTCACTGGCACACAACTGTATAACGGCTATAATTCGACTAAAAATCTGATACAAAACGTGGAACAAACAGAGTTTATGTAACATTATCTAATCATGTCAAGTTGTGTGTATTTCATTTACTCCCTTATTATTCCTACATTTTGTAATCAGTACTTTAATCATAATTTTACTTGAATATTGAATAAATTAACAAATTCATCTCTGATCTCTCTGGCATACATTTAAAAATAAATAAATGAATAAAAATCTGTATTAAAATAAATTAATTTCAGCTTGATTTTCACATAATTGCACGTTTAATTTAAATTGGGACAAACGTTGTGATGGTTCCATTTGGGTCACCTATTTTTGTTGACTAATAAGTTGAAATGGAATCAGTAAAGAGTTGTGAATCAAATGGAATCAGTAAATGTCCGGTCACTAAATCCTTCATTTATTAAATGATTTTTTCTTCTTGCACCTCTTATAAATAACTTGCAACAATAACAAAATACAAAGAATATAATACTCCTAAGCTCATCAAAACATTTATAAATTAGAACTTAGATCACTTAAATGTGTTTTCTTAGGTTATGATGAAAATGTTAAAGGTTACAAATTATGAGTGAAATGTGAAAAATGGTATAAGGTCATTGTTGGAAAATATGTCATTTTTAATGAATCTTTAATGTCGTGTTTAGAAGGAAAAGAAAATGTCCTAACTGAAAAAGATGTTCAAATTGAGGTAGAGTCTTCTCACATTGAGCAAGATACTCATGTGCTTGTTGTAGATGAAATTGGTCCTGAAGAAAATGTTTATTTACCAAAAATTAAGAATGATCAAGAAGTTGATCAGACTGACCATATCTAGACTGACAACTCTTTCCCTTAATAAGTATCAACTCACAAGAGATATGGAGATGAGACAGATGAGACATTTTAGTAGATTTCACAGTGATGATTTTGTTTCCTTATTTACTTATCAAGAACAATTTGAAAATGAGCCAACTCCTATGAGGATGCCATTAAGTGTAAAGAAAGTAAAAACTGAACAGTTGCCATGGAAGATGAAATGTCTTCACTTTTTAAAACAAAACTTGGGAACTTGTTTACAAGCCTAAAGGGTAGAATTGATTGGCTGTAAGTAGATCTATAAAGTAAAAGGATAGAGTAAAAATGTTAGATATAAAACTTGACTTGCTGAAAAAGGCTTTACTTAAAAATAAGGTGTTGATTACACTTTGTGAAATAAACTACTATTAGATGCATGCTTGCTCTTTTTGCTCAACTTAAATGGAAACTTGATCAATTACATATCAAAAATAGTTTCTTGTATGGTGAATTAGATGAAATAATTTACATGAGACGGCTTGTTGTTTTTGAAAAATGGATCCTGAAAATACCATTTGTCTATTAAAGAGATTCTTGTATGGTTTAAAACAAGGATCTAGACAGTGGTACAAAAGATTTGATACTTTTCTTCAAAAACTTGGTTTCAAAAGGAGTCAGTATGACACTTGTCTATACTGTAAAGGTAATGGAGGTAAAAATTCTCTATGTTTAGTCCTTTATGTTGATGGTATGTTGCGTGCTAGTTGTAATAAATCTGAGATTAATAACATTAAACTGAAATTGAAATCTGGGTTTGATACGAAAGATCTTGGTTTTGCTAAAAAGATATCGGGCATGCAGATTTGGAAAAATAAAGAAAGGAACTTGCCATTCTTGAATCAACATGATTATGTGGTTAAAATTTTGAAAACATTTAAATGTATAACCGTAAACCTATAACCTTATCTCTTGCTAATCATTTTAAGCTATCTTCTGAATGTTGTCCTAAATCTAAAGAAATATGCTAGAATGTTTGATGTTCTTTATGTAAATGATATTGGTTCTATCATGTATCTGATGATTTGTGCAAAACCTGATCTTTCATATAGTATATTAAGCTAATTTATGAGTAACCCTAGGGAAGAATGCTGAAATGCTTTAAAATGGTTATTAAGATATCTTAAAGGCATACCTAACTTAGGTTTAATGTTTAAATCAAGTAAAGATAAAGATGGTGTAACTTTAAAAGGATGCACAGATTCTGATTTTGTTGGAGATAAAGATAATATGAGATCAAATTTTCCCTATTTTTATACCTTATGTAGAACTATAGTAAGTTCAAAATCTCAATTTCAAAAGGTTGTTGCTCTATTTTCTACAAAAGCAGAGTATATTGTTGCTATTAATGCAATAAAAGAGGGAATTTGGTTAAGTGGGCTATTATCTGAACATGGATTTGTTGATAATCATACTATACTGTTTTATGATAACTAAAGTGATATTCATCTTAGTAAAAATCTCATGTTTCATTATAGAACAATGCATATTGATGTTAAATGTCATTTTATTAGATATGTGATTTCGAAATGAATTCTTAGAATTGGTAAAATTGCCACACTGTTTAATCCATCTGATAAGGGTACAAAAGTGATTCATTTAAATAAATTCATTAACTGTTTGAAACTCTTATCCGTTGATTAAGTGTAATGCATGTACACGTACTTTGAGCAAATTTAAAGTGAAATATTGATGATGCTTCTGGTTGCAATTATAGTCTCAAATTTTGGTAGCAAGGTGGAGAATGGTGGATTCGAACCCTGGTCCAAATATGTGTGCTCCCAAAATTTGTGTTGTAAACGTGTTTGTGAAATTCGACTTTATTAAATGAAGCCTTTTTATTGGATTGAAATATGTGGCTCTATCTTAGCTGTTGATTGATGAATTCTGGAATGCTCTATATTTTGGAGTGTCGTTTCACTTGGCACTAGTGCGTGTTCTCATATGACTTTTGGCTGTTGGTTTTTGGAGAGAAAAATAACGAGGGAAACTCTCGACGGGTAGTTTTTTTTCCTTCCGTGTTCATCTCTCAAATCTATGATTTGAAAAGCACGATATATAATATTTACCTTCTGATTTGTAATATTCTGAGTGAATATTTGTAAGAACGTGAGGGTTGAGTTGCTGTTTTCAGATGGTTTTGAGGAGATTCTTTGTGATTCTTCATGGATCATCTATTATCCTTGAGCGATATGTGTTCATATACTATCTTTGTGTATCGGTTAAACATTTGAAACTTTTTTTCCAGTTTGGCTTATTTTGTGCAACCGAGCATAATTCAATTTCTTGAATGTTCAACGGGGGATGTAGGCCTTAGAAGTGGCCGTCGAACTCTCGGGTTTAGGCCGAAAGAAAGCACTTATATTGAATCTTTTAATTTCTGCACATTTTAATTTTATGTAAGATCGTTTATTTTAATTTTTCAACATTAATATCGTGTGAACCAGGCCCTACACATAATTCACATGCTTATTCTCTTTTTCACAAAATATTTTCTTGAGGTTAAATGCATGAAGGATTAAAAGTAATTGTGAAATAAATCAGAAGGATATCTTTTGGGTTCAATATTTTTGAGCAGAAGAACATCTTTTGCATTTTGGGTTCAACTTTTTGAGCATAATGTGATTGCATGGAGTAATATTTGGGAGGGGTAGTAGTTCATAGGAAAAGTTACAAATATAGGATTCTATATACCAATTATTTTATATTCTTTATTTATTGGTTTTATTCTAATTATAATTTTCAATATTTTAGTGTGTATCTCAATTTTTTTCCATTTGTTTCTTATTGGGTATA